CAAATGTTAAAAAGACATACACATGAACGTAGAAGAATTAAAAACCAAAGAAAATTGTAACAGCAATTGCAATTGCTGTAATACAGCACAGAAGCATGGCAGTGGTACAAAATAAACTGGAATATATAAAAATAAAATAAAATAAAAAGTTAAACTATTAAAATACTGAGAAAACAAAAAATTTCTACCTGACACGGAAAGGAATACAAAGTAGGTGCTATGTGCACCTCTTTGGAGAGCTCCTTCCAATACCGGGGTGCAACAAACAAAAAGGCCCCTTTCCTGGTAGCCACCTGCCTCACTTTCCTTGGAAGGGGCTCCTCAAGAAGGACACCCAAAGTTGACCTCAGGTACTGTGTAGTTACATATGGGAGAAGTTGATTGTTCAGATAACCTGACCCTAAGCTGTTTAAGGCTTTGAATATCAGTACTAGTACTTTGAATCAGGCCCAGACTTCAACCAGCAGCCAGTGTAGTTGGAAGAGAACTGGCGTAATGTGTTCTTGCAAGCCAGTCCCCTATTAGGATCAGTTATTAGGATTATTTGGATCAGTTGATGTTGCCAGACTGTTTTAAAAGGCATACCCATGCACAGCACATTGCAGTAATCCAAGCAAGAGGTTGCAGAGCATGGATAACTGTAGCTAGGCTCTCTCTGTCCAGATTGAGTTGTAGTAGGTATATCAGTTCAAGTTGAAAAATGTGCTCTGGGCCAAAGAGTTCACTTGTGAGTCAAGTGACGACTCTCAGTCCAGAAGCATTCCCAAACTAAAAACCTTGTTCTTAAAGGGAGAGCAACCCCATCTACAGGTTGAATAGCACCCAAATGGACAGAAACACCCACTAACAGCACCTCCATCTTATCTGGACCGAGTCTCAGTTTCTTGGCTGGCTTCCAGTTCATTACCATGCTCAGACACTGATTCAGAGGGGTCACTGCCTCACCTGCGTTTGATGAAAAATAGAGGTAGAGCTAAACTTCATATTGGCGACACCTCAGCCAGTTCCTCCACATAACCTACCTTAGCAGTTCAGTGTAGATATTTAATTGCATAAGAGACAAAACAGAACCCTGTGATACTCCTTGGCATAACTACCATGGCACAGAGCAATAACGCTCCAGCAGCACCTTCTGGAATTGGCCAGCCAAGTAGGAGTGGAACCACTGTAGTACAGTGCCATCTACTCATAGCCCAACCAGCCTATCCAGAAGGATACCATGGTCAATGGTACTGAAAGTCATTGAGAGGTTCAGGAGAATCAACAGGGTTGCATTCCCTCTTTCTTTTGCCTGGCAAAGGTCATCCCACAGTGTGACCAAAGTAATTTCCACTGCAAAACCAGGCATGAAGCCTGATTGAAATGGATCTAGATAATCCATTTCATTCAAGAGTACCTGGATCTGTTCAGCTACCAGGCAGGGAATGCTGACTACTGGCCTATCGTTGTTGACATTCTCTGGGTCCAGAGTAGGTGTTTTCAGGAAATGGCTTAATTGTAGCCTCTTTTAGAGTAGTTGGCACAGCTCCCTCTCAGAAGGAGGCATTCACAGCCTTCTGTACCCAAGTGGAAATCCCTTCCTTAGTTACTGTAATAAGCCATGGGGGCAAGGGGCAAGCACAAAAGTGGTGCTGGATGACATACTTTGGACATCAATTAATGAAACTCATCCAATAATACTGGACCAGTCAGTGCTGTGGGTGCCTCTGCTAATGGCATCAATTGTGGTGTCCAATCCATGACAAATCCAAGTGACTTTATCTTCAAAGTGCTGAGCAAATTCATCATAGTGAGCTACTGAGGCCTCCACAATTTCTTTTTCTGGCCCAGAATAGAATAGGCTAGGAACTACTCAGAAAAACTATGCTGGACAACAATGAGAAGATGCAATGTTGGTGGAAAAGAACTTCCTCTTTGCCATCTTCACCACCATAGAGTAGGATCAATAGTGAGCTCTAACCTGTGTTTGACTGGACTCAGCATGAGGTTTCCTCCACCTGCACCCTAGCTGTTTCCCCTCTTGTTTCATTGCCCTCAACTCAGGTGTGTACCAAGGAGCTGGCTTGACTCTGCTCAAGGCAGGAAGTTGCTTGGGGGTGCTTGTGTCAACCATCTGAGCCATCTCTGTATCCCAGAGAGTCACCTGGGCTTCAACAGGAGCAACAGCCATACCAGCTGAAAACTTCCCAGAGCCCAGAAATGAACTTCCCAGAAATGATCAGGATCCATTAGCTTCTTGGAGTGGATCATTTGAAAAGGTCCCCCATCCTTGTAGAGAAGAAAGAGAATCAAAAGTCTAAACCTTAGTAGAACTGGATCTGAACATCCAAGGGAGTTGTTACTAATTCCCCACTTGTTGAACTGAAAGGGACAAGAAAAAAGCAAGCAGGAGAAATCTTTTGTATAGACACTATGGCTGGAAAGGGTTATGTGAGGAGGCAATGACAGGACAGCTTTAGAGATTACAGAATATTGAAACAAAGTAAAGATATAAGAGAAACAACTGAAGGAACTGCTCCTAGTATAACAACTCAAAGAACACCCATTTAACTATATAGTTCTTTCATGATTTAATACCAGTAAATATTTTTTATCAGAAATGATGAGTTTAAGACTAATCACTCTAGGGAAAATAACTTACCTGCATAATGATAATTAATATATGTTTTAATATGTTTTGTCATTTCAGCTTTTTGCACACAATATAATATTACTAGCCACACGGTGATAGCAATATCTATAAAGGGACCCAATTTTCTAGTATGTTTCTTTGCCATACTCATGCTTTCACCTGCTATTGAGTTTTTTACTTAATACATCAATATACTCTTCAGGCTGTGGCATGCTGGGAGTTGTAGGCCTTTCTCTGAACTTGCATAAGATTGCACTTTTCAAGTGCATAAAGAGACCCATGCAATAAATGAAAACCCAAGCTATTACATGGGTCAAGCACTACCACATGATATCAATCAATCAGTCAATTAATTAATGTATTTTGCTGCCTATTGTGGTTATTCAAATATTTACCAGATGCTGACACCATGAGGTAATGTGCAGTACAGTTTCCTAAGTTCATCCAAAATGCTTGCAGCCAGAATGCCTGCAGCTGTTAAAGAGCAGATCAGTCTGCAGCATGGAATCTAATATTTTACAGTCTTGAATGACAACTGTAAAACCTTGGCATCCTTATCACCACAGGACAGTGTACAGCGCACAGAATTCTCCAAAGCTGCTAAATCAGGATTAATAGCTTTTTGAATATGTATTAACTATTCCCAAACTTCAGAGATAATAGCATGTTCTGTTTAATATAAGACATTCTCTCCATATTAAATAACTGGTAAATGTCATTTTGTTCACTAGTCATCACTAATTATAGGTATCTTATGAGCAACACTAGCATGTTCACAGCTCAGGGACAAAGAATGTTGTCTGACAATGTGGCATCAACTCTTCTGCAACTTGCACTGACCAACAGGCCTGAGATCCTAGAGTGGCTGGACAGCTTAGGCAGCTGGGAGAGCAACCCTATTGTCCCTAGACAGCATCTGAGGGACCATAGAAGTATCCTATGGTCCCTCTGTGGTCAGAGACAGTGTTGGGAATAGAAACCCACAGCCCATCCCCCTCTTGGAGCCAGCACAGAAAGAGCCTTCTCCAAGACTGGGAATGCAACCTTTGCAAGGTGGAAAAGCAGCTGTTTTAGTGGACAAAAAGGGAATAAGACAGCTTCTCTGGATCCTCTACAATCTCTCTCCTCCTTCTCCAAAATGCCTTTGCTAAATGGACCGGGGGGGAGGGGCAGTCCAGTGAAAATGCAAAGCAAGAAGGCAAGGATGAGCATAAGCAGCTGAGTTTAGGGGATTATGAGCAACATGACAGGACTCCACCATAAGTGGATTTGGTATATCTTACAAAGAGCATTTTTATAAGCCATTTAAATACTGCCAACAAGCTATGGGCTTAAAAAGTACTAATGGGCCTATAAATTGGCTGAGCATTTTCCAAGTGTGTTATTGAAAATGGACAGGTGACATTTGCTTCATTTATATGTGTGTGATTTTTCATAGTCATTTCAGAGATGGGAGCAGGGGGTTGTTGCACATTTAGCAAAATCTGAACTTTCCCCGTTCGTATTAGACCAGTGGAGGCAGAGTTCCAATGTCAGCACTGTGGGATAGACTTCAGTACCAAGGATAGCTCCTTAAAAGTTTGGGGCACAGTCCAGGTTGGAAACACAGCCCCACAGACACCAAAGCTGCCAGCATTCATTGTATTAGTCACGTCTAACACAGGCATAAGAGGAGGCAACTCTAACAAGATAGGTCTCCTTCGGTTATGCTTTGCACCTTCTACACAACATATCCTAGCAGTTTCAATGCAGTACAAGAAATGTTTTTGCATTTCTCTTGAAGCATTTATTTATTTATTATATTTGTATGCCACCCCATCCTCCGAAGGGCTCTCTGGGTAGCTTACAATAAAAACAATCAGAAAAATAAAAATAGACAAGTAAATAGAAACAATGAAAAGAACAATAAAAGCCAGCAATTACAAGGAGAAAAACCATTAAAATAGTGCAAAACTGGCAAACAGATGCTTGCTTTAAGTAAAACATGTCATATTTCTTTCAGTCTGAGGGCTAAATTCAGTTTTGGAGAAGCTCCTGGGCTACTTTTGTGTGGTGGGGACATCCAAAAGCAGCAAGCAACCAGAATACATTTTGGCTTACAGTTCTTAATGCTAATAGCTAAGCTTTAGAAGGTGCTTTACCAGCTTTCAAAGTAGAAGCGGGGGGGGGCAGTGATGTGACTAGCTGGATAACCCTGTAGTGGGAGGGTGGGTCTGGCTTGGGGCCTCAGGTGGGCAAGATTCGGCCCATGGGCCTTCATTTCAACACCTCTGCTGTAAGTACCCCAGAAAGCTCCTCTCTTCAAGCAATAGGTTTCCCCTCTGAATGCACATCAATAATTCTAAATAAAGTCTATTCAGGTTCTTACTTTTCGTGACAACGCCTTCTAATCGAATGATGTTGGGGTGATCAAATTGTCCCATGATGCTTGCCTCTCCTAGAAAATCTCTTCTCTGCTTCTCTGTGTAACCAACCTTCAGTGTTTTGATGGCTACTGATATTTCTTTTTTTGAAGGAAGCTTTAAGCGACCACTGCATACTTCTCCAAACTCACCTGTCAATAAAAACAAAACATAGGAAATCCTGAGTTTTTAGTTTGCATGATAAGGGATGAAGAAAATTGTACTTTCCATCCATATGTTGTATATTGTGCATTAATGACAAAGACATAAGTAAGTCTGTTCTGGGATAACCCTGAATCATTCATATTGCTCAGTTTTTCTGTCACAAAGCTACAGTAATGACAACAACTTACCTTACATTAGTGTAGCAGAGTCCTCCTAGAGCAGCCTTCCCAAACCTGGTGGCCTTCAGAGGCAGTTGGACCACAGCTCCCAGAATTCCCATCTGGCAGGGCCAGGCACAAGGTTGGGAAAGGCTGTCCTAGAGAATGTTCAAGGACTCAATGCATGCTGGAATGAGGCTAGAAATGCCTGCCCCCGCAACATTCCTGTGCATGATGATCCCATCCCACTCAGCTCAGACCTTGAGATATTTTTAATTTAGGGTTTCCAATCACGGTGAGAGTTCTACTCACATTCAAGCATAGTAGAGTCTTAAAAATGGCTGTCATACATGGGTATACAGGGGGCAGTGACAGCATTTGTGCATCCATTACAATACACACTGAGCCATTGAATGTTCAGCCAAACACCTGGACTGGGTTGCAGTAGCATTTCACAGCGAAGCCAGGTTTTTCAAGCAGCCATCGTAGTATGTTTATTTATAAAATTTTGTGAAGCCCCTGATTTCCCAAGCATTGTGCCAAATAGCTGTATGCAAAAGATAAATGCACTTATTATACATGCCTTTTCTTAACTGAACTTATATTAGAAACTTATTGTCATGTGCAACAGGCTTGCAAAATCAGTTCAAGAAAGTAAGCACTTTCTAGCACCCAAACAATAATGGTCTGTGCTTGCATACTTTTCTAACAATTCAGTCATTACTGTGTCTCATTTTTAGGATCAAATCTAAATATCAGTCACTCTTCACACATCTCTGTGCATATGCACTGTATTCAGAAACTGTCCAGAGGTGAAAACAGAAACATCAGTTGAGTTTCCTCTTGCGCTATCAGCAGTAAGTGAATATATATAATGAATACAGGTGCAAAGGTGAAGAAGAACATGAGCCATATGACAATTGTTCAACCTGACAAATTTTCGCAGAACAATGAATTTCAGAAGCTAGTGTCTTCACAAGCCCTCAATATTTTTCCCTCATAGACATTGCAAACAAGTACTAAAGAAGGGATGGCATTAAAAGAGTATTGAGCAACATAGCAGAAGGAAGTATTTCCATACATATTGCACCATACAATTTGCCATCTTTTGCCTTTGGGTTTAGGTCAAAAAGGCCATTTTGACTATAAAGGTGTTTTGGATTTTCCTCCAGACAATTTAATTATGCTAACCCTAATCCTAAACACCCTGCAAAAGCATTCTATGAATAAAAAAGTAACCTCTGTAGGAGACTACAACTGCAAGCATTGCTTACTCAAGGCAAACAGCACTTCTATTTAAATATTACCATGAGATTGATATTGTGAGGACACTGTTGGAGTAGATAGTGAAAGCAAAACACTTGAGGGGTTTAAAAAAACTCTTTTAAATCTATCTTGTGGTGCTCACTGTTGTATTTTTTAAATGTCCCTCTTTTCTTGTTATATACTTTAATGGTCTTAACAGCTATATGGTGTTCTATTTATTTACCATTACATGACAGCCAGAGGAATTTTTCCTTCTGTTTGAGCAAACTTGGCTGTTAAACCTAGGAATTCTTTGCTTAAGAATGGAATTAGAAGGAAACACTGGTTTTGATGTCTGATTTTAATTAATGAGTTAATTTCTATGCTTCCCACTAGCTGAAGCATTCTGGACAGTTTACAATATTCATAACGTACACTAAAGGGCAACATAAAATACAAACACTAAAACATCATAAAGTTCACTACACAGACGTTTGAAAACAAATTGAAATTACTTAAATACAATACGTTAAGAAAATAAAATAATTAGGTAGAATACAATTTACAACCTTACCCAAAATACAGTATAAATTAGCTAAAATATAGTTTTTGCCCCATTTGTCTTTAAAGATTGCGGTTTGCTTGCCTGATTCACCAAAGGAGCTTCATGTAATGAGGCATGTAAATGATGCAATTCTTTGTTTAAGTGCTGAACATACTTGGTATTTATGAAAGGTTAAGAAAAATTAGACGTTGCATGGAAACCAAACCAAAAGCCCTCCTCTCACCAATATTGAACCTAATCTAGCTCAAGGACCAAATTCTGTTTCAGAAAAGTTCCTGGGGGCTTCATTTCAATGGTGGATGGGGTCAAAGTCCAAAGATGTAGGGCCAAAAACACCAACTTAATTTACATATAACTAAGTCTTAGGATAGCATACTAAAAAGGAGAGGTATCACTCTGCCAACAAAAGTGCGTATAGTCAAGACTATGGTTTTCCCAGTTGCAATGTATGACTGTGAAAGTTGGACCATAAGGAAGGCTGAAGGAAGAATTGAGGCCTTTGAATTGTGGTGCTGGAGAAGACTCCTGTGAGTCCCTTTGACTGCAAGGCGATCAAACCGGTCAGTCCTAGAGGAGATCAACCCTGACTGCTCTTTAGAAGACCAGATACTGAAGATGAAACTCAAACACTTTGGCCACCTGATGAGAAGGAAGGACTCACTGGAGAAGAGCCTAATGCTGGGAACAATTGAAGGCAAAAGAAGAAGGGGAAGGCAGAAATTGAGGTGGCTAGATGGAGTCACTGAAGCAGTTAGCGTGAGCCTAAGTGGACTCCAGGGGATGGTGGAGGGCAGGAAAGCCTGAAGGAATGTTGTCCATGGGGTCGCGATGGGCTGGATACGACTTCGCGACTAACAACAAGTCTTAGGAGGGATATTTCAACCCTTTAGAATTAAAAAAAATTCTAAACCAACACAAAAACCAACTCCCCCCTCCCCCACACATACACATTAAACAATCAGGACTTGGAAGAATTAAAGGATATGGCCATGGAAGACCATTCAGGACTCCAGTGCAGGGGCATATTTTGCCTTGAGGCCTTAGGTTCTGCACTCCTGTCTTTCACAGATACAGTTTTAAGTTAATCCAGAGGGAGAGTTGAATAACACACTTTCCTTCAGCACTGACTTACCAACAAGCCCTCATCATAAACGTATCTCACTACTTAGACAAGGATTGGAGTCTTTTTTGTACCTGAGTCAGGTGCAAAATAGCAGGAATGGAAAATCACAGAAGGAACAAATAGGGTGCAGAATGGATTTCAATTTTCTCTCACATTAAAAAGAAAAGAAAGAATTTAAAATTCACTGTTGTTTCTCTCATTAGCAGCCTAATTTAGGGTGGGAGAAGCCTCGGTGATGGGAATAAGAAACTCTTACTGATCTACTGGTAACCACTCAAACATCTAGCAAGAGATCCTGATCTATGTTCTGCTCATGCCTGACTTAGAAGAAATTAGGCCTGTCCTCACTCTGCTCAGTAGTACCACTACTGTTTATTAAAGTGTTTATTAAAAATGAAAATACCTGTCAGCATGCTGTACCCTGCAGGATTGACAGAGAGTATACCTAGTTATTACAGCTACAGAATGAAACAGTTGAAGTGGCAAACTGTCACAGCTCCTGTCACAGCTCTTTCTCCACCTGCCGCATCCTTTGCCAGAGCCCTGCTTCAGACACTTATCCCACTCATGGCAACCTGGAAAAGATATCCCTGACCGCATTCATGCTATTCTTTCTCCAGCCAAGAATATGCTGCTGCTGTTTCCACAGCTGAAGATAGTGGTGTAGGTCTACAGTACTGCCTCTCTGAGTATGAATGAGCTAAAAGGGACTACTAGACATGGCTGAGTGGTATAAGCATTAACTTCCAGCTAACGCTTTGGAAGACTGAATCCTGTTACCCTTGCTGCTAAATTGCCCATGCTTTACTGTTGGAAGCATAGGAATAACAGGTTTGGGAATTCTTACCTGGGAATGCTCATATTACAATTCTACTTTCCACCAGTTACGACAGGAGTGGACAACTTGAAAGCTTCCAGATGCTGTTGGACTAAAATTTCCATCCTTAGTAGCTACTGACCATTCTGGATGCAGCTAATGAAATCCAGCACCATCCGGACAGCTACAGTAGTCCCAGTCCTGAGTTACAGTGAATAACTGGTGCAGTTACAAAGTTGTTTCCAGGACCATGTCAGGTTCAATAATAACCCATAGCCTACTACCAAGGGCTGTTGTTGTTATGTGCTTTCAAGTCATCTCCAGCTTATGGTAACCCTATGAAGCCCTGCACAGTTCTTGTAAACCCCTCAGAAAAACACCCAACATTTGTACAATTATTATATTTATATTCTCCGTTTTTCCTTCAATGAAACCGAGTTCTTCTCCTCCTACATTTTTTTATTCTCACTGCTACAATCCTGTGACATTAGATTGATAGCCAGTGACTGGCTCAAAGTCTCCCAGTGGGCATCATAGTCAAGTGGGACTAGAGCCAAGTCTCCCCAGTCTCAGTTCAGCACTAATCATTATGCCACACTGGTCCTCAAAATGTAAAAATGTTAATTTCTTGAATTGAACAACAAGCTATCATGTGATTCCTTCTTTCTCTCTCTTTTGCAACACAGGGGTACCTACATTTGATCAACCTTATCATCACAACCATCACAAGAAGCCCCCAGTGTCTGTGCACAGAATGTAGGCAAAGACTATGGTGTCTACATTTTACAAAGCCTATTTAGAGGGATTCAGTCAGGCTCACTCACAGAATGTCTTCAGCTAACATCACTTCTTACCACAATGATACCTCCACTCTCACATTCAAAAGCCTCCCCCCAGCAAAAAAAAAAAAAAAAAAAAAAAAAAAAAGGGATATATTTGCTTGACCAAGCTTTGGTTTTAAGATTATTTTACCAAATGGCTGAAGTCAAGTCCATGATGTGTCTTGAAATGTGATTCAAGATATAATTATCTAATTATGTGAGCTGGACTTATAGATCCTGAAAGTTAGCCCTGCCTAT